CAGTCGATCATCAATTTCCTCAATTCTGCATCCAAAATGTACCACAAACTGTCTTCACCTTCATTGCTACCATGCACTTCTCTTGCTTAGATTAACAACCTTAAACATTGAACCTTCCTACCCAAATCCATTTACCAAACAGAAGCCAATGTGAAATTTGAAAGAAAAAAAAAAGTAACTCATATTGCCTCACTCCCTACTTTATTTTTTTAATTATAGATCCATCATCACTGGCTGGTGTTGCTCAATGGTTAGAGTCAACCCGTGCATCAAAGGGTCATGGGTTTGATTCCTGGTCAAGGGCATGTACCTGGGTTGCAGGTTCAATCCCCAAACCTGGTCCAAGCACATGCAGAAGGCAACCAATCAGTGTGTTCCTCCCCCCCCCCTTCCTTCCACTCTCTCTAAAATCAATGGATCAAATATTCTTGCATGAGGATTAACCAAAAACTTCTATTGAGTCATCAGAAGATGCAGAGAATGTACGAACAGACCCCGTCCATCCCTTACCCAACTTCCCCTAATGTGAACCACTCTGCGGTTTCTTAGGTGGAGAGCACCCCAAATCCTTAACTTGACCTCCAAAGCCCTTGGGATCTGCCAGTGTCCCCACCACCCTCTGAGTTCCCTCACAGTGACCTTCTTGTGGTTCTTTAACTGAGTAAGGACGTAGGCCTGCGTGGAGCTCGCTCTTCCACACCCCCTCTCACTTCTCTGCTCCAGTAACTCTTGTTTATCCTTTAGGCATCAGCTTAGTTACCCCTGACTTAGTGGGCCTTCCTCACCCACTCATTCCAAGGGAGGTCCCCCGGCACCCACTCCTCTTCAGCCAGAGCCCCTGCAATCTAGAACGTTTGTGCAATCAAGAATGTGTAACTTTTATGTCTGACACCTCTAGGCCCTACATGCCGTATGGCGAGAGCTTTCTCTGTTTGATTGTCACCCACCCCCAGCCTGTTACCTGCACACCACAGGGGCTTCAGATTGAACCCTGGAGCTGTCCGGTTCGTTCTGTTTCCATCAGGAAGGAACGAAACTGCATCTTCCTGGCACCCTCTGAATCCCAGCCTCTTCCCTCGCTCCCCCCGCACTCCAGCGTCCATGAGCCTGCCCTGTGCTCAACCCGGTCACTATAAGGGCACCTCATTTCCCCTTTGATTTTCCTTCAGTAGCAGACTGGGACTAGTAACTTATTTCTCATACATTGAAACCTGGATTTCTACTGCTTCTGTCCCACGCTCCAAGCTTTCCATAATAAAGACAGGAAAAAAAAGCCATCTCTTGAAAAGAACTGGAAAATGATTATTTCTGGCAGAAAACTTGTCTCAGAGCTTATGCTTCAGTCACTCGTGAATGCGTAAGGCGCTTGGGAAAGATCAGCGTAGCGTTCCCTTCACCCTCTCCACTATTGTGCTGAGAACTGGATGAGGAAAGTTACTAGCCAAGGTGATGATTCAGGAAGGGAGAAATGTGGGTGCTGTAACACACGCTGGAAAGAAGGAAATTCATCTAGTTTACGCTGCGTCTTCCTTCAGCCTTCAATCATGAGTCACCTACGCAGTTTTTTTCTCTGCGATTTAGTTCCAATGTTTATTTATTTTATTATTTTCAACCGTAAAAGAAAATAGTGTCCAAAAGCCAAAGTTTATTTAAAAGAAGAGCAGTAAAAAAATAAATAAAAATAAAATTGGCGTTCTTTGCTTTGGTATATGACATACCATTTTAACTTAATGCCATAAAGCTTTTTTAATGTTATTGTTTAAAACTTTAACATATTCTCATCTGCTTTCTTGATGGATGATGAGCCATCTCCATAATGTTTTTAATGTTGTAAAATAACTGCAAATTAAATAGCGCCATCAAATTCAGGCATGAAAAATTGTGGTGCAGGTGGCCGATGGTGCTCCGTGCCACAGGGTGAAGTGTGTGGACACGTTGGTCATGCGGACAGATGGGAGAGTGAGGATCACAGAAAGGCATTGTCCGGCGCTGGTGGGATGCCGCGGCTCAGCCCAAGAGGGCCTTCTGGTGCCAGCGTCAGGCCCATCTGCCGGAGGAAGGTGGCCCTGCCCGCTCCTCCGCTCAGTCCCATCCTTGCACCTGGCCGGCGGCCACCTGCGCGGCGTCCTCAGCAGGGACCGCCGCCTGGAGGCACCTGGAGGCACCACAGCAGAGCGGCTTGTTTTGTGCTTGTTTTGCTTTTGTTTTTAAAATAATTTTCTCATACGTTGCGCATCAACGGGCACCGTTTCCTTATCACAAAAGTCAGCGGGAAGTATTTGGAGGCAGGAGAGAACAAAGCCAGCAGACTGCAAAAATATTGGCAGCCCTGGCCAGGGGACACGCAGGCGCCATGTTAGAGGTGTCAGCTGACCTTCCAGCCACATCGCGCCTTAAGGTTTCTGTTATTCCGTCTGCCGTGCCTTCTGCGGAGATGCGTTGAGGCGGAACTAATCACGCGTGCCACCTTTTCTTGGGGGAGTTCAAAATACGTGTCTGTATATTTCGCCAAGCAGAGTCAGGAGGAGGGAGTTCGGTTCTTATCAAGTATGGCTGCCAAAAAGGAAAGCATCTTGCTGAGCGATGGGGCCCTGGGGACGGTGGGGGCTGCCCTGCACCTCCCGGGCGCTGCTTGTGGTGGTGCCTGGGTACCCCCTCCCCTTACCCCCCAGAGCACAGAGAAGACAGGAGGGGTATGGGGGGTGGCTCCTGGTCTCCACGGCCCCCTGAGGCTTTTCACCTCTTTCCCCGCCTCGTTCTGCTCCCTAAGGTGTCCTCAGCAAGAGAGCGCTCTGTGGGTGTTCTTTCCCCTCATGACACTGGAATGCCCTGACATTTGGCCCTTAATTCACAGGAATCCAGAGAAAAAAGAGGGTCAGTAACCCCATAAACTGTTCACTGGAGTTGGGACATGGCTGGCCAGCTCCCTCACCATCCATCCCCCTTAGGGTAGAAAGAGCAGTTTGGAAGCTGAGTCCTGAGGCCCTCACAGAAACGAACAGTGAACCTCTCCCAGGATGAGGACTTTCGGTGCCCAGGTCAGCAGAGCCTATGTTCTCCTCAGTCAGTGTGGTTCTGTCCCCGTGGGAATTATCCAAGTTCCTGTTGTTGATTTGGTCTCGTTCCTGAGTCGCTCCTGTCAGGTTTCTTTCTGGCCTTTGCGGCAGCGCTTCTCCACAGAAACCCCTGTCCTTCTAAGGGGGCCACTTCAGGGGACCCATCGGGCCTTTGAGAGGCTGTAGCATCCCTGGCCCCAGGCATCAGTGGCCAGTAGTGACCCCTCCTTGGTGTTAAGACACAGAAACACCCCTACTCAACTCCAGTAGCCTTGCTGTTTGGGCAAGAGGTGCCCCGGCTGAGAACCGCTGCTAGAGGCCTGGCCACAGAGGCCCTGGCCTGGCTCCACCTTGCAGTCCGGAGCGACCAATGCCTCTTTCCATGGACACATCCCTCCTTGTCTTTGCAGCTTTGCTCAGATAGTAGTGAGAGGCTTCCCGAATTTATTCATCCATTTGACATTTCCTCATCAGATGTGCACTGAGCACCTGCCAGCTGTCCCAGGCCCTGACCGAGGAGCCCGTGGCCCACCGGCCATGAGTTACCAGCACCCACATCCCCCCCTACTCATCTTCCACTTGCATGTTAATGCCCAAGAGTCTTCAAGTTCTCCCCGGACCTCTGCTCAGACTCCCTGCCTAGGGACTGGGCTTCTCTAACACAGTGACTGTGCGTCCTGCCTTTGCTCTGATCCCTCCTGCAGCCTCCGGCAGTGGTCTCCATGTGCTGGGAATCCGGCCAGTGCTGGCTGACCGAGTGATCCAAGAGGTGTTTGTGTGTCGCCAAGGGTGGATTCAGTTCTGTGACAGGGATCAGGTTTCTGCCAGGTCGTGTTTTTCTCATCAGAAGATTCTGTCTGTCTGTCTGCTCTCCACATGGAATGAGGAATGGCATGGAAAACATTCCGGCGCCCTTGGTAAACAGTAAACCTGCCTTGTGTCCTGTATGCGGTGAACGGCCATGTGCACTTCCTATTTCTTGTGCACCCGAGTAAGCCTTGGTCTCACAGGCCGTGCTGTGATCCCTCCCAATAATGACTTCGGAGATGTAGAATGAGTGTGCCCCCTGCCTTCGGAGCTCAGCCACACGGGGCACATGGACAAGCTAGGCTAAGCAGACAAAAGGCAGTGAGTACAAAATGGGGGAAATCTGATGGAGAAATGGAGGTCTTTAGCTTCGTTTTTCTTTTTTTTGTGTGTGTTTTTTTATAGAACATTTCAAACACATAAACAGTCTAGACTAATATAATAATCCCCGGTGTGCTCATCACCTGGTTTCAGCAGTTACCAACCCAAGGACATTGTTTTATTTACATGTCTACCCCCCTCCCTTCCCCCCAAGTATACTGTTTCAAGGCAAATCCCAGATCCTGTAATGGTATCCATAAATATTTCAATATGAATCTCTAAAGATTCTTTTAAAATTGCCACAAAATCATTGCCTAAAAACAAATCCATATCTCATAATATCATATTTCCGTCAGTGTTCCAGGTTACAATTGTGGTGACTTTTTCAATAAATCAGAAAACTGGGTCAAAAGGTGTACCTTCATTGGGAGAGATGCTATAAAGGAACCAAAACAGATTTCTTTTTTTTCTTACAGGAAAGTAGAATAAAGCAACAGGGAATACAAATGAAATAGCTGGGGAGGGTTTGGGCGGGGACAGTCTCCTGAGACCTGTCCAACCTCACCAGCCTGGCACTTCCTGCCTCCCCACGCTCGCCCCCTGGTGGCAGGTGGGCACTGCAGAGGCTTCAGTTAACTCTACAGGAGCATTTACTGCATAACATGACAGAGATCTTCCTGTGTTGCCTGTAGTTTACTAGTAATATTTGGCCACATGGCAAAAATGTGTGTGACACGGGTTTTTTTAAGCGCTGATTGACCACGTAATTTAGAAGTCAGAATATTAAATAAACATCTCTGCCCTTTCTTCCACCAGGCAGCCCAGGGAACCGCGCTCCACGCTCTGTCTGACAGGTACGTTTTGTCATTTTTATGAACTATAAATTGCTTTATGAAACATCGAGCCTTATTTATTGTAGCATATAATTCATAATCGGATTTTGTCCCTCAAGTGTCTGGGAGCTGGGGTGTTAAACGTTTTGCATGCTTGGATTTGTCATGCCCATGTGGGTTTATTACTGCAAAAATCGCCTTGTTGTATTTCACAGGAAGTGTGGAGAGTCCCTTGTTGTTAGTGAAACAAGAGACAAGGAGCTGGAGGAAAAGGCCTCAGCGCGCAGTAAATTCTGAACTTTGGAATTGGCTGCGATCTGAGCTCATTTTTCAGCAATAAGTACTTCATTTATTTTGAGATGTTTTCTTCAGACTTTTTCCATATCATTTCCCCGGGAGCTGTCTGGCTTTCAATGAGATTCTCTCCTGAAATACTTTATGCATGTCACCCACTGCATGGTCCTGAGTGCCTGGCTCTTCGCGCCGCGCTTCGGTTGGTTTTCTGACTTGTATTATGAATGAGATCTTCCAACCTAATCAACTGTCACTCAAACTGTGTCTCACATCTGGCTTTACTGTATCAAAATAGTGGAATAGGATCTATAGTTACTTTTGAAAGCAGATCGGGCCCTTTTTTGTTGTTGGTTTTTTTATTTTTTTCACTTGCTAAGGTTCTGCGTGTGCGTGTGTGTGTGCGCACATGTGGGTGTATATGCACGCGCACGTGCGTGCGCATAAGTGTGTGTTTTAAAGCCCTAACCGGTTTGGCTCACTGGATAGAGCGTCAGCCTGGGGACTGAAGGGTCCCAGGTTCGATTCCAGTCAAGGGCATGTACCTTGGTTGCGGGCACATCCCCAGTAGGAGGTGTGCAGGAGGCAGCTGATCGATGCTTCTCTCTCATCGATGTTTCTAACTCTCTATCCCTCTCCCTTCCTCTCTGTAAAAAATCAATAAAATATATATTTAAAAAAAAGAATTTTCAGGAGGTAAAGATGTTTCTCTGCACATCTGAGGCTCTTACTGCATCAGAACAGCTCGCTGGTGGGCACCTCGGTGTTACCTACTGGACTGTCACCACCTCCCTTCCTTACCAGTTCTTCTTGTGTGGAATAAGCAATAATTGGCTATGTAACCAAGATCAGTTCAGCTTCTACCAGGGAAAGCCCGTCACTTGGGCATGTTGTCTGCACACCCGGGTGAAAAGTGTTTCCTCCGGTGGCGGGCTGAGCCCAAGTATGTTTATTGCTGTTGAAAAGCCTGCCCCAGCTCGCGTGCTCCAAGGTGGCTGCCGCATCTCCTCAGCAGCTCCTTCCAGGACTCTCCCAGGAGCTGGGACTGCAGTGCTTCTGAGTCTGTGGGTAGAAGGAGGAGAGGCTCTGGATCGAAACACTTAAAATCTGAGCCATTCATTCCCTTTGGTTTCTTAGGTGATTTCTTCAACCAAATGCCCTGAAAAGCAAGAGAAAGTCCTTGATTCACAATATTGCTCCATTGCCAATGATTGCCGGGTTTCTTTTGGGGGCATCGAATGTAAGATTAGATCATGGTGATGGTTTCACCACCTTGTAACTATGCTACAAATCATGGGATTGCATCCTTTAAATGGGTAAGCTTTATGGTGATAAATTATCTATAACTAGAGGCCCGGCGTACGAAATCCATACATGGGTACAGTCCCTAGGCCTGGCCTGCAATTAGGGCCATCTTCCCTGGCTGCCTGCAGCCAGCCCCGCCCCCCGCCACCACCCACCCCCTGTTCCCCATTCGCCACCAGGCGATTGGAGCCTGCTGGCCAGGGGAAGAGACTGAGAGGTGGTCAGTGTGCCTCATAATGACTGGTCCAGAGGTAGTTCTGGTAGTTCTGCCGTTAGGGTCAATTTGCATATTGCCCTTTTATTATATAGGATAGAGGCCTGGTGCATGGGTGGGGGCTGGCTGGCCTGCCCTGCTGGGGGTTCGCAATTGGGGTGGGGGTCCCTGCTGCAGGGGCGGAGCTGGCTAGGGCGAGGGGCCATGGTGGTTTGCAGCCTGGCCTGGGCGAAGGGCCGGTAGTTCTGGTCTCTGGTCATTCTGGTCATTCTGCCGTTTCGGTTGCTGGGCTTTTATTATATGGGATAATAAAAGCATAATATGCTAATTAGACTGGATGACTTCCCGGATGAAGCTGGGGCTGCGAGGAAAGCCTGGGTCCCGGGTGCCAGAGGGAAGTCGGTGCTGGCAGCTGGGGGAAGGAAGGCCTACTCTTGCACAAATTTCATGCATTGGTCTAATATTTCAATAAATGTCTTTATGACCTCTGGTAGAAGGAATCAAACCTATTTTAGGTAAATATGGGCTCCCTTTGAAGACGTGGTTGCAAGATACAATCATAAATTAGGACTTCTTCCCAGAAGACACATGGCCCTGTCCTGGGTAGAAAGGTACATGGGTGATGAGCAGCGCTATTCCCTTTGACTTTGTTCTGAAATTCCCTCCAACCCTCCTGGTCAAGCCCCGTAGTTCATCAGCTAGTAAGCTAGCACCTGGGCCCCTGTTGATTGCATGACTAAGTGCAAAATAACGTGAAAGGAAAACCATCCACTCCCTAAGGACAGAGGTCCCCGTTGTCACTACTCTTACAAATTTCTCTATCTTCCGTGGAGTAGAGCATTTCCCCCTTAAATATATATAATAGTTTTTCTGTTCAAACTTGGGGGAACTTGGCTCATTTCAAAGTAATGAGTTTTTCCGCCTGCTGGCCTAGCAGCGGGTTGTCTGCAGCTACCTGCTCTGTGCTGCTCCTGTCCTGTGTCCCCTGGCTCGGGCCACACGTGTAATTTCCGTAACCATCTGTAACCATTTGGAGATGCCATCGGAAACCCTCATTCCAAATAAGGACTTAGAACACCTACTGAATTCACTGGGCTCACATGTTCTAAGGTCTTAAATTAGAGACTCAGAGACAGAAGTCCATTTTCTACCACCTTACCTAATCTGGAGGAAACCAGTAATTTCTAGGAAATAGTCGGCATGACTCCTGGTGACAGCCTGACAGTCTGCCTGTCAGAGGAACCCCTTGGGTGGGGATGGAACTGAGTAAAGATTCGCCCCAGGTTCTGACCTTCCCGAGGTGGAGATCTAACCCAGTCCCGCTTCCATGTGGCCCCACAACCGCCTGGAGTGCCCAGGCCCAAGGACGTTGGGTACAGGGCTTGGCGCTGTTTTGTTTCAAGATGTGCAACTTGATGATGAAGTGGGTTTGGTCGGCAGGGTTTGGGGATGTGGGTTTACAGTGCAGGAAGCCTGCTGTTGTTTTCTGCTCCAGGGCAGGAAGCCTGCTTCCAAGGCGTTGAGGCGGGACCTGGTAGGCCAGTGACAGTGCAAAGGGATGACATTTCTCTGTCCTTGGTAAGGACCATAGAAGGCTCATCCCTGTGAGGTGTCAGAGGGGAGAGACTGTCCGAGCATCTTTTGAAGGCCAGTCTTGCCTGTCTTTTCACTTCTCCGGTCTCCTGTTTTAAGTAGGCATTCTGGGAGAACTCGGGTGTCTGGTAGCTCATATTCTATGCTTTAAAGTGTGTGAGTCCGTGGTAACCAAAGCACAACCCTGATAAATTAAAACTATGAAATGTTTCATTACCTGAATTTAAAAATTATCTGCGGTCAACCCCAAAGGAAACCTTTGGCCTGGCTTTGTTTGGCCTGAGCGATGAGCTTCATTTACGGTTCAGCCTGAACAGCCAGTGAGTCCGCAGTTGATTACGGGATCACAGTCACAACGCAAATCTGACTTCCCCCAACTTACGCCTGCCACCCCCCGACGGGCAGGGCCACGTGTAGGTGGGGTGGCCTGTTTTTCATTCTTTTCTAGCATCAACTGTAGAGTGTTTCATCTGTTATACGCCACTGGGTGCCCGCTATACCAGAGGCGCGGTGGTGCCTCAAATAATGAAAAACATCAGGAGGCCAGGGCAGGAAGAGGGGGCAAAAGCCTCAGTGTAGCAGACAAGCCAATTACAAGGAAACCTCAGCTTGCAAAACGGCACAGTGCTTTCCACCTACTCCTGGTAGTGTGTGCCTCTCAGGCGTCTTTTGTTCTTATGGATTTTGTGTCAGTGGGTAGAGAGGGGCCAGGAGAACCAAGATAAATGGGCCGGAGGCTTGCTTGTCCAGGTGAGCCCGGGGTGGACGCGCTGCGCGGGAAAGCGTGCTCCGCGGGAATGTGGAAACATGCAAAGTGCCGGAGGAGAAGGAAGGGTGTGTACGCAGCACACGAAGTCCTCTCACTGTGATTCACTTCCCCCTCGAAGCAGTAAATAGTAGATAACTGTGATGAAAAAAACGGGTCCTGTGATTTATCAAGCCGAGCAGCTGTGCATTTGCAGAAGGCGGAGGTCCATCTTGAAGCCTGGGCAGGAGCGGGAGGCACGGGAGGACTCGGTGTCAATCACCCGGCGCCTCTGTGGTCCCGGGGGTAGGCCTCGAGCTCCGCAGCGGTGCTTTATGGCCGCTGATCAGGAATTCATATTTGCTGCGAAACCTCAAGCATCATATGCAGTAACTTGGGCTTTATAAAAACGGAGCCTAATTTCATCTGAATAAATCATGTTCAGCTACAGATATGAGGAGCTGGGAAAAATGGTGCTCAACTTTAAAAAAAAAAAAAAAAAGGAATGAACAAGAAAGCCAATGTGAAAACAGTTGTTGAAGCGCTGGCAGTTGGAGGGCACGTGCGGCCCTGGTGAAATCGTGCATGTAATCATCTTCTGAAATGTCAGCCTGCCACGGCAGAGATGCCTGCGTGTTTATAGCCTTGGAGACGCATCACCAGACTGTGCCCTGTCAGCCCATCTGGCAGTATTTCAGCTCCAGGATCCATTTATATTGAAATCCAAACAACTACCATTGATTTATTCATTTATGCCACAAGTATTTATTGAGCGCATCCCGGGAACCCAGCGGGCGCCGTGCGGTGCAGGGCTGCGGGGGCGACCAGGAGCTGCCACGCACCCCTCGGGGCTTCGTCGTCCAGAGGGCTGCT